TCCTGAAGTACAGTGTTGTCAGTGATAAAATAATATTCATATGCATACAGGGAAACCAATTAATACAAGTATTACTCAAATTTACATACCAATCACTAAAGCTAAACATGAAGAAATTGAAGACTGCACCAAATTGTGCAGTCTGAAATTGATCATACATGCAATCAAGATGCATTGATAATCACTGCTGGTTAGAAACAAATTGATAGTTGTAAAATATGGCCTTAGTGATACAAATGATGCCAGGGATCACATGATAGAATTTTGAGAAGAATGGGAATTCCAGAACACTTAATTGTGCTCATGAGGAACCTGCACATGGACCTAGAGGCATTCATTTGAACAGAGCAAGGGATTATGCATGGTTTAAAATCAGGAAAGGTGTGCAACAAGGTTGTGTCCTTTCAGCACACTTAAGCAGTCTGTATTCTGAGCAAATAATCTGAGAAGCTACACTATATGAAGAAGAATTGGAGAAAGACCCATTAAGAACTTGCTTTATGCAGATGATACAGCCTTGCTTGCTGTATCTTGCTTCTATCTTCTTGCTAGAGTTAAATCTCATTTTGACCCCTGCCATTCCCTTTGTCCTTCCCAGCCATATAAATAATAATAATTGGAAAAAAAAAAAAAACTATAGTAATTGCCACTCGCTGAAAGTAAAGAGGACTTTAAGCACTTACTGATGAAGATCAAAGACTTCAGTATGGATTACACTTCAACATAAAGTAAACATCCTCACGACTGGATCAATAAGCAATATCATGATAAATGGAGAAAAGATTGAATTAGTCAAGCATTTCATTTTACTTGGATCTGCAATTAACGCCCATGGATGCAACAGTCAAAAAATCTAAGAACATACTACATTGGGCAAATCTGCTGCAAAACACTATTTTAAATAGCAAATATATCACTTTGAAGACTAAATTGCAACTGACCCAAGCAATTGTCTATTCAGTATCCTCATATGTGTGTTAAAGGGGGACAATGAATAAGGAAGACCTTAGAAGAATTGATGCATTTGAATTATGATGTTGGTAAACAATATTTTATATACCACAGACTGCCGAAGAATAAAGAGATCTGTCTTGGAAGAAGTATGGCCGGAATACTTTCTAGAACCAAGGCTAGCCAGACTTAATCTATTGTACTTTCATCTTGTTATCAAGAGAGACAAGTCCCTGGAGAAGGATATCATGCTTAGTAAATACAGGTTCAGCAAAAAAAATAGAAAACCTTAAAAAGAAAAAAAAAAAAGAACTGATCCAGTGGCTATATACAGTGGGCTCCAGTGTAGCAACAATTGTGGGAATGGCGCAGGACCAGTGTTTCATTGTTATATGAATCAAAAGTGACTTGACAGAATCTAACAATAACAAGTCTATCTGTATGGTAGAAATATAACATGACATCCTGCCACTCTGCATCTTTTTAAGTTCTGTGTTCTGTCATGTTGTAGCTTGAAGTCAGCCATGATGGAGTATTTACACCATGGTCTTTGGCAAATGCAATAAATCAGAACATTGCCTTGCCATGGAGCCTTTGTTAAATATTTACTGGTACACCGTGGGATACAGTAACATCTCTGGTTTCTCACTGTATTACAGACACTTAAGAAACAAACTGCCAAATTAAAGGCCCGTTCTGCTTTGCTGTAAGCTTATTTCCTGGAATACCTGATATGTTCCAGCTTTATCTTAACATTGTCCTTTCCTTCTGTAAGGAGCTCTGGTAGCATAGTGCCTAAGGCAGTTGACTGCTAACCAGAAGGCTGGTGGTTCAAATCCACCAGCCACTTCTCTGAAACCCAAGGAGGGGTCGCTATGAGTCGGTCCAAATTGACAGCACAAAACAACAACAGCTTTCATTCTGTTATATTTTCATCATCTTCTCCTCTACCCCTATGGGCTCTAAAGGCTGGTCTTTTCTTTCTCTTCTATCCTCTTGCTAGAGTTGAATTTCATTTTGACCCCTTCCATTCCCCTTGTCCTTCCCCACCATATAAATAATAATAATTAAAAAAAAAAAAAAACCTGTAATAATTGCCACTGCTGTATAGAGAATGAGATATGAAATAGGATGACAAAGTTCAAAGATCATATTGCCGGAGTTCTAGTCACTTCTAACTTTGGACATTTTGAGTTCATCAGAATTATTTGTATTAAGTGAAATGCTAGGTTAATTATCAGTATTTCAAGCATTAGTGTTTCATCAGAAAAATATTAATATTCATTATCTAGACTTTAGGGTTAGTTTAACTCTTGTATATAATATTTTCAACATAACAGTTTCATTTTTATTATGGAAATTTTATAACTGGAAAATGGAATCTATTTGCATTTCACAAATTTATAGAATTCATTAAAGATTCCTTAACAGCTAATAATACTTTGGGCTGCAAGAAACAGAGAAGGTGACTGATTGCTACTGTTGAGTCAACAGCTTAATGATATTAGGCAAAAGTATCTAAGATTCTTTAATTGTCAAGTAGTGCCTATTGCAGGACCAATCATGACACCTGCATTCACAGCAGAAAGGAGAAGAGATAGGAGCAACAGAGTTATGCTGATGTGTGCCTTGACTACATCTGAATGCAAGGAGTCTAAGACAATGAGTATTTGCTAATGTTTTTGAATATTTAGCTAATATTACACTTATAATAAAGGCAGGAAGTAGAGAAGGGATTGGGGATAGGTGTTAGATGAGCCTATTTTAGATGTCTACATAGTCTGCAATAGCATTTTCTTGCAGGTACTTACACCTAATGCATTGACACAAAGGTGAAAATATAACTAGTATGTTTGTTATAGTTCTTCATAGAATTTTATTAAGCTTTGTTCAGACTTTATGAGAATGTGATAGAGAGGTGATTTTTATTATTTGCTAAAAGATACTAGATTTAGAAAATGGCTTAATTACTTTTAGATAAATTCTTGAGATGTAGATAGTATTATTGCCATTTTTACACATTAAGAAACTGAGACAGAGATGTTAGCAGTTTGTTTTCAATCACAGAGCTATTAAATGAGGGAACCAAGTTTAGAGCTTGGACTTTCCTCTAAACCAAACTGCAGAAAATGTTTATAAATTGAGATGAATGAGAATTGTATGGAAAGAATACTGTTTGAGGATGAGGAGACTTAAATACAAATGTGCAAAAAGATGGTAAGTATTATGTGTCATATCCAATTGATGAGGGACTAGAGCCTTCTAGGTTTTCTCATATCCCACATACTGGGATAATAATAGGTAACATTTATAAGTGCTTGTTGTTGTTGTTATTGTTATGTGCCATTGAGTTGACTGCAACCCCTCCTTGGGTTTCCAAGGCAGTATCACTACGGAAGTAGATTGCTCCATCTTCCTTCTGAGGAGTGGCTGGTGGGTTTGAACTGTCAGCCTTCTGATTAGCAGTCAAGTGCCTTAGGCACTATGCTATATGCATTTTACTTACACTAATCTACTTCATTCTATGAGATAGGGACTATTATAATGTTGAGATAGAGAAACTAATACACTGGGAGGTTAGGTTAGAAACCTAAGCTAGTAAGTGGCAAGACTAAAATTGCACCCAGACATTCCTCATTCTTGAGTATGCACTGTTAACTGTTACACCACATTCCTTCTCATAACAGCTGCTTTATGTGGAGATGAGAAAGATGTTTCAAGTTGATTCATAGCTGATTCTAACCAATAATGGTAGAATTTCTACTGGTTTAGTTATATGAGAGGTTTAGTAGAATATGTTACAGAATTTCACCAATGCAACAGATCCTTAAGCCTCATTTTGGAAGGCAATTTATAGAGGCTTTGAGAATCCTAAATTCAAATCTTTCAACAAAATTCATAATTTGTTAATAAACTCTTTTTAGCTCATGATAACTGGTTACATCTTCATAATTTAAAAATGACTCTAAAAAAATTGATCCAGAAATTGGAATAAGAATGCAGCAAATGAGTATGTGAAAATAATCCCAAACAGATGGCAGTTATACAGCTCAGAACTTTATGATGACTCATACTCTTGGAAGACCATTTCATTTTTCCCCAGAGTCTGTCAACAGAAGAATGTACAAAGAGAAGTAGTTTTCATGTTTCATCTTTAACATCTGCTGCATGGCAGCCCAGTTATGTTCCTATCTCAGGAAACATCTATAAATATTGGTAAAGATTTGCTTCTTGCTTTTGTTTCCAGGCTGTTTATTTTTCTGTATTATTCATTCTATTGGCTATGGTCCCTGACCATATAGTATTGCTGGGTGATCTGGAGCTCATGTTGTCTTTTAATATGACTTCTTAGGGTTCTACTTGAAGCCACACATGTGGTTCTGCTACGAGGTCAATGTGGTATGTTTTAAAGGTCTAGAGTGTGTTGCCACTGCTTAGATTGACTAACTGTTTTCTCCTCCCTTACTTTCCCCTTACCTGCCTATTACCAGTTCACACAACAATGACTCGCTAGGCTTTTATATCATTGTATGTTTCACAAATGTGTTTTAATCTTAATTTTTTTTTTTCATGAAGCCTGTGGGAGAGTGAAGAGAAACTTTGCCTCTCCCCCCAAAAAAACCCAGGAATTGTGATTTAATGTTGATTTTTTAAAAAAGTCATAGAAAAGATAATAAACATGATAAGATGATATCAATACAACTAAATTGAGATTTCAGAAAAGTAAGTTATGAAGAGGTAAAAATTATACCTACTGCATGCATAGTGTCTCAGATTAAATATTTTAATTGGTGTAAAAAAAGGCTTGGGACATTTAAAATATAGAAAAGAAGACATATTTGGACAAATAAAACACATTATATACTCTTAGCAACAGATTGTTTTATTATTTGTTTCTGCATTTGGCGTGATCTTTTATTTAGACTCTTGGAATAATAGAATCATTTGGGAGGGACTGTGGAGTACATTACTGGAATTCAGTTGGCAGTGCTCACATATTGGTCTGATCTCTGGTTTAGAATCCTCTCTTTGCCTCTCTTTTTTCTTAGGTGGGACTCTTCCCTGGACATTGTGTGGAGTTAATTAACCAAAAAGTTCCCCAGTCAGTGACGAACTCTGTGCCAAAACCAGGTGGGTCCATTTTTTCATCAGTGTGGCTGTTTTATGAACTGATTAAAGATAACATTTAACCAATCATATACCGAGCTTGTTTTGCTGTTCTGGGCATTTATTGACATTCTTAATTTTATTTAGCTTTGTATTTTAATGTACTTTTATTTCTCTGTTGCTCATTTCACATAGTTTTATATGCATTCAAGTTTTTAGAGGATTTTGCCCCATTAAACTTTGTCATTATTTGCTTTCTCAGTTGTACAGTAGAAGTATAGTTCATTACTGAATGAAATGAAAATGTGGATTTGAAGAACTGACATGGAGGTGATATGAATACTAAATATTGATAGATAAAGGGAATGTATATTTTATCAGTGTCTATGAACGTCAAAGCTATTTTAAAGAATAATTATTATTATTTATATAGTGTACTTACAGGAGGGAGCTCTGGTAGCATAGTGGCTAAGGCACTTGACTGCTAACCAGAAGGCTGGCGGTTCAAACCC